CTCCCTGACTGTGCCTCCAGACCTCTGTCTTTTCTACTCTGCAGGTTCCCAAGAATTCCAGCGAGATGCTGCAGCCCCGAGTGGGGACCTCCAGAGGGCAGAGGTAAATGCCCCTCCCACCCCCATCCCTTCACCAGCCACCGTCCAGGTCCCTTGGAGGATTCAGCCCCCTCCTCCCCGTCCTCTCTTCCCACTCACTCTTCTCGGCGCTCTCCTCTTTGCCTCTTACATACACAGTCTGCCCATTTCCCACTCCCAACTCCCTGTTCTGTCTCCCAGTTGGCTCCAGTTTCTGCCGGTTCTCAAAACAGGGCCCGCGGCGTCTCATGTGCCTTTCTCTCTGTAGCTGCCAGCGACATTTATGCCCCCGGCACCAATCACTGCTCCAGTTCGGAGCCTCCCCGCTCAGCCCCCAGGGGTCCTCCCCTCGCAGCCTCCTGTCTCTGGGGTGAGTCACGCTCCCCCTGGAGCCCCAGCAGAGCTCAGTCTGCGGGTGACAGGGACAGAGTGTTCCCCGCCCCTGGAGCCCCTTTCAGCCCTCTCTGGGTGTAGGAAAGCGGGGGGCACAGTGGATGGGCCTCATTCCTCAAGGCGAGGCCGTCTGGAGGAGACCGGGCCTGGTGTCCCCACTTGCACGAAGGGGTGGGTGGCGCCTCCTCCCTCCGCTGGGCTCGAAGGGGTCAGTGAGAGCCTGAGTCCCCGGGCCAGTCCTCCGGGGAGCCGGGAGGGGGACAGCTCGCCTGTCCGACGTCCTCCCGGCTCCCGCAGCGGCACCGGCAGCAGCTGCGGCCTGAGAGGACGGGCAGGAGGGAGCTGCCGCCAGAGCACCGGTCCCTGAGGGCCAGCTTCGAGGCGCTCCTCCGACGCTGCTCCCTGTCTGCGGACTCGGTACGTCTGCACCTCCCCCCAGGCCCTCCTCACCGCCCCTGCTGATGCTGGCCCCTCAGCTCTGAGCAGTCAGCTCCCGCGGGACTGTTCTGCCCTGGGGCACGGTGACTGAATCGGGTACTTGTTTGGTGTCGCTGTGGAGTATGGGAAGCACGCGAGGTCTGGCGTGAGGTCCGGCTCCTGGGGCCTCGCAGGGAGGACGGCAAGGGGGCCGAGGCCCGGAGGAGGCAGAGTGACCTCCGCGGGCTGCGTTTCCCGCTCTGTGACAGCGCCCTCGAGCTCTGATACAGCGCTGCGACTCTCAGTAGCTCTGGGTAGTGCCGTTAGACTGAGGGGCTGGGGTCGCCGTTCATGTCCCTCCCTGCAGAAGACGAAGAGGAGGCTGGAGGAGGCGGCCCAGCGCCTGGAATGTCTGTACGACAAGGTCTGCGAGGCGGCGGTGAGTTGGCCTCGCCTTGCTCCTCCTGCCTCTGCCCTCCCACCGGTCCCGGGCGTTTCTCTCCGTAGTTCTCCCTCCCCGAGGCGAGTTCCCCACAGATGGCCTGCATCTTACCTCGTCTGAGCCCTCCCAGCCCTCCCATGCTGCCAGGGCAGGTGCTGGCCCGGGCCGGGCCTACTGAACTAAGAGGCGGTCCCTCCACAGCTCTCGCCTCACGTCCTGGCCGGGCTCCACGAGGTCGCCCGCTGTGCAGATGCAGGAAGCTTCGAGCGGGCCCTGGCGGCGCATGCCCAGCTGGCGGGCTGCAGCAGCTTCAGCGAGGTGTCCAGCTTCATGCCTGCCCTGAAGGCGGTCCTCACCATGGCGCAGAAGCTGGGCGCGTGAGCCGGGCCGCCTCTCCTGCTGCTACTGTCCTGCAGAAAGGGGGGGGGGGTTCCGACAGCTTCTGTTGGTTTTTCCCAGCCATCTTGCCTGGCTCCCAGATCTGTGACGCCATAGGATTGGGTGCCTGCGTTTTCCTCTGTATGCCTGGCTGTCTAGGATCTACCGAGACCCTGGCAGCCGCAGCGGCAGGGCGCGGAGCCAGCCCCTCCCTTTCCTCAGTGCGGTCTCCGCCAGGCCTTGGCCAGGCCCTCTTCTCCCCCAGGGACAGTCTGCTGAAGTGGCTTCTGACAGGGTGAAGACGGCTGTTACTTCCAAGCCTGCCTCTGCTGGGATCCGGCTCCTGGGTGTCTGGTGTGCCTTCAGCACTGTGATGCTGACCTGCCTCCTCCCTCGGGCCTCTGACTTCATTTCCCAGCTCCAGATTCTCCTGTAGCCCCAGGGGCCAGAGTTGGCTGTCGCTCACCTTTGAACAGGTCTTGGGCCTGAGGGGTGGATGCTGGTCAGAGCCAAGAAAGGAAACTTGGGTGCTTCTGAAGTGGAACTGCTCATGCGCCAGCAGGGTTAGGGTGGCTGGGGTGGGTGGTGGTAGCTGGGGAAGAACTGCCTCTTGCTGGGAGCCGACTGAGGCCGTAAAGGAGGAGCTGAGGGACTGCAGCCTCCAGGGAACGGCCTCACCCGAGTTTCAGCTTGGCTTCCGGCCTAGACTATTCGCTCAGTGAGTATACGCCCAATTCCGGCGTGGGGTTCACGGTAACGAAAGACTGCCAGTGCTGCTTCTGAGGGTCAGGCCCCGTGTCTCCCAGGGCCACCTGCTCTGGCTGCATTTTCACGGCTGAACTCTGTGTTTGATGCACTGATGTGCTTAATAGTGCAATAAAGCTACTGGATTTGGTTTCCTCGGTCGTCTTCCCATCATTTGTGTCTTCTGGGCCCATTTGGCTGCTCCACCCCTTTTTGGTCCCCTGCCTTTCTGCTTCCTGTGCCCTCTTTAGTCAGGGGAGAGGCTGTGGAGAGACACATTAGAAGAGTTGAATGACGGAAGCTGTCCGGTCCTGCTGACCCACGGATCAGGCTACAAGACTCCATGCAGCATGTGTGGCTACTCTGGTGTGTACGTGTGTATATGTGTGTGTGTGTGTGTGTGTGAGAGAGAGAGAGAGAGAGAGAGAGAGAGAGAGAGAGAGAAAAGAGAGAGAGAGAGCGTGAGCGAGCGTGCGCTGGCCTATCTGCCTGCATCCGTGCCTGCCGTTCAGCTCCAGGGTTTTCCCCAACCACTTCAGGGCTGCACAAAGGGCCTGGGTGTGAAGCCAGGGGGTACCAGGCCTAATCCTGTTGTAGATCCCATGGTGTCTGCAGGCTGGATGTGTGTGTTTGGGAGGGACGGATTGTTAGGCAGTATTTGTTTGTAAAGCCACTTGCTCTGCAGATAATACTTGCACTAACTTCTATTGACGGAGCAGTGTGAGCCCAGGCGAAGTCCTTTCCCAAAGTGTCTTTGAAGCCAAGAGCCCATTGAAGGGAAGAAAGGCAGGGAGAGGGGATTAGTTTGTTCAGCAGCTGTGAATTTCAGTGGGAGGTTGATGAACTCCGAAGTCTTTGTTTAAATTAAAGGGGGGTAGAAAAAAGCCGCTGCTGGAGCGAGAGCCCCGCTTGGGGCCCTGAACTAACACAAGGAGAAGTCTGAGCTGCGGGGAGCTGTGTGCCGACTGCGGAGACTTTTCCCAAACACTTTCCGAAAAGGTGTTGTGAGAAGAGAAGGGGGCGGAGTGGCGGATTAGCATGTGAAACCAAGTTTTCATGGACTCCGTGGGGGTAGAAGGCTGTTTTAATGGCATTTTGTTCGCCCATTTTCTCTCCTTGAGCCCTTTAGAGATATTGTTTTGCTAAGACAGGCTTTCTTCCCTTCTTTCCAGGCTGAGGATTGCCTCTATGGGAGCCAACATAAATATTTCTCCTCCAGGAATGCGGGTTAATTAAAAGGAAATGAATGAGTGGAAGCATCCAATCCAGACCCACAATAGGCGAGTGCCCTGGCCTGCCCTTCCCTCCCACAACCACAGCACCACCAGCGCCCGCCGACGACCCTGGCTCTGTCTTTGCCCTAACCTGCTGCTCAGGCCAGTGGAGGCTGGGATTCTTTTCAAGCAGAGAAAGCCCTGCCTGTGTGTAGGCTCGCAGGCCAGGGACAGGAAGGAGGCTGTTTCGCCTTGTCACTTCTCAGGACCTCCTCCTGCGTCTGCCCTCTGCCTGAGACAGATGGGCTCCTCTAGAGAGCAGGGAAGAGCCTGGCTTCCAGGACTCGCCCCGCGGTCACGTACCCTACCGTAGGGATAACAAGCCCGGCATCTTTGTGTCAATCTGTAAAACAACGAGGTTGATGAGCCGGCCTCAAAGCTACCTTCCAGGGACAGTTCTGGAGTTGTCCATATTTGTAAAGGGAAACACAGGAGACTGACAGGACCCTGAACTCCAGGAAAGCGGGGATGAAGCGGTGTTGCTCACCACGGGGCCTTAACTCTGGTGTTTGCTGAGTGGACAAATGAATGAGTAGACAATGCAAGAGGGGAGCAAAAAAGCAATGCAGACCCAAGGTGGCTCAGTGATGTTTTCTCTGTGGGCCGCAGATGGATCTGGGTCAGACGTGTCTGTTCAGGGGTACAAGACGGTCCCCTCTGGAAGCACTCTCTGGCTTCGGTGGCATGACCCGGAGCTCTCCGGCGGGGGCCACAGTAGATTTCCCCCTCAGGCCGAGACACCTCCCAAGCATGTGCGTGACCACATTGTCCTCTGACGCTCTCCAGGAGCCTTGCCGGAGCTGCTTCGAGTACCTGCCAAGTGGGACAGCTGGGCGGGGAGATGAGGACGGTGAACTAGGCGGTTTCAGAGGCGAGCTGGCGGTGAGGCTCCAGGAGACCCAGGTCTTTCTGCTCAGGAAGGGGAAGCTCTCAGTACAAGTCAGTAGAACCACAAGTGTAGGAGCTAGGCCAGGGCTTTGGGATCTGACCTGGCCGTGGTCTCAATTCAAAATAGGGAGACCTCCTCCTACAGGCCAGCCTTTGGAGCCTCTGCTTCCGCCACCTGCTTGCAGCCACACCTGCTTCCCCTGCTCTGGGAGATGAAGAGGAGGTTGTCTAGCATATGGCCTGCTCTGCTCCGGAAGAGCTGCCCAGTGCTAGACCCGGGACTGGTCTGGGGTATGCCCTAGCGCCAGGGAGCTGGTGGGAGGGCTCAGTACTGCTTCTCTCTGGGAATAGAACCAGAAGATTCAAGCACTACAAGCAACAAGCTCTTGGTATTAGTGGATGATTTACTGAAATCCTTGGCACAGTACCCTCAGTCAAGTCAGGACAACCTTGTAGGCCACCAGGGAAGCAGGTTATAGGGAGGATGGTTTCCTGCCAAGCCAGAGGGAGGAGAGAGCCCAGAGATTCTGTCCTCCAGCCCGTCCTGCCCACAACGTCCCCAAGAACAAGTTCAGTCCCTGGGAAAGAAGGGCACACATCACAGTGATTGCAATAAATTAAAGTTCAAGGTGCTAAACTTCCTATTAACAGTTTCATTGTGGGACGTTAACTTGGCACAGGAAGAGGCCCAGTGTCCGGAGTCCTGCCTGTTTGGGAAATCGGGGTAGCCACAAGGAAGCGTCCTAGCGCTGCCTCCCTAGGACCTGGCTTTAGAGGTGCAGAGCGAGGTCTGGCTGGGAAATCGGCTTTATTTACCTCAGCCTTGGCCGGGGGAAGAAGAGGCAAAGTCAGCTGCTCTGGGAGGAAGTCACAAGCAAGGAGAAGGAACCAGAAAGGGCAGGGAATGACTAGCGGTCTGCCCCTACCTAGTTCCCGGACCTCTGGGGGTGTCTGGAGTCCCCTGGGGGCCCGGCCAGGGAAGTCAGTCCTTCACAGTGGCGCCAAGGCGGGTGAGGAGCAAGGCAGGGCGGGGCCTGCCCCTTCTCCCACCCTCACTCTCGGCCTCCAGAAGCCAGGCCTAGAGGCTCTCTCTGCCCAAGGCCACCTTACCCTGCTTCTCTATGGGGAGAGAGGGGAGGGAAAGCATCAGATCCGCGGGTGTCTAAGTCGGCAGTCACCAGAGAACCAAAGCGTGGGGTGGGCTCCGCACGAGGCAGAGGCAGCTGTGGGGGGCCCTAGTGGGAGACAGCGGCCGAAGAGGAAAGCCATAGCTTTACCGGGGCCCCGCGTGAGAGGGTTGCTCCGCCTCCTAAGGCTAGGCCAGGCGGCCGGGCAGCCAGGAACCGGGAGGAAGAGGGCCTGTTCTCATCCCCGTCCCAGGAACAGCAATAGCTCAGAACCTAGGACAAGGAGAACTCAGGCCCGAGTGCGGCTGTGAGGTCAACGCAGACAGCTCTGGGAGAGCCCAGAGGAACCGGGGAAACTGGTTGCAACCGGCAAGCTCCCAGGAGACGGCAGAGTCTCTCCCTCTCCGGGTTGCTATGCTTGGGCGTGCGGGGTCCCCGTCTCCTGGGTTCCTCTATTACTGGGGTCTCTAAACGATGCCAGGGACAGACGGTGCGGCGGCGGGAGGGGAGCCGCCTAGGGCTTCCTCCCGGCCTTGTGGGCAGCGCCCCCCCGCGGCCGCTCCGCGCGGCTGCAGAAGTACTTGGTGATGCGCCGGCGGCACTGCTCGCAGCGGACGGCGCAGCACCAGTGGAACTTGCAGTTGCAGCTGGACACGGTCTCGGCGCGGCGCTCCTCCACCGCCAGCCCGCAGTCCCCGCACAGCCGGCGGCAGCTGCGGCGCTCCCAGCGGCCCAGGGCCCGCCCCCGCCGCAGGCACTCTCGGCCCTCGGTGCCCAGCAGCCCTAGCGTTTTGTTCTCCAGGCAGTAGTCCGGGGAGTCTTCCAGGTGCACGAGCTCCCGGGTGGAGATGGAGCGGAAGGTGTCGGCGATGGCGCCGCGGCCGGCCGCGCTGTTGCCGGCGCCCTGCAGCAGGTCCACCTTGAGCGCCGCGTGGTACTTCTCTTTGAGGTGCGCGCCCACCTCGCGGAACTCGGGCAGCTGCAGCCAGCAGGTCTGCGTGGTGCAGCTGCCGGACACGCCGTGGCACTTGCACGTGCGTTTCATGGTGCCCTTCACCGCCTGCGGAGAGAGCCGGCAGTGAGCGGCCGGGAAGCGGCCCCGGGGCTGCGAGGCGTCAGAGCGCGCTCCGGGCCGGCCCGTGCGTGCGATCTGCGCAGCGACTGCAGAGCGGCCCCCGGCGGGACAAGCGGGCCGGCCCCGGGGCCGCGGACCCACCTTGCGGCCGGCCTCGTTGTTGTGCAGGTTCATGGCCGCCCGGGCGTCCTGTCCTGTCTCCAGGGCATCGACGAACTGCTTGGAAATGGCCTCTCCGAAGCCCACGTTGTCACTGCAGCCTCCCCAAAGCCAGCCTTGGCCCCCTGGAAAAGTGCAGGCACAAAGGCCGTTCAGCAGCGGGCGCCGCGTCTCCTGGGCTGCTATTTCTAATTGGGCTTGGGGGGATCAGAGGTGGGCAAGGATGAATGTTGGGTGAGTGCCCTGTACCCGGATTAGTCTCAGTCTAGATGTATTTTTGCCACCTTTGCGTGCCCGCTTCCGGCCTCAGCCAATCCTCTGCTCAGGACTCCGTGACGTCAGTAGTTGCCAAGTAGATTCTCTGTAAAGGGCCCGCGCTTTCCTCCCCTCCCTATAATGTCCCCATCCAAGGGGGCACAGGGGGCACGTGCCCGACTGGTAATGGAATGCGAAAGGGACAAACCGGGGCGGGAAAGGGTGAGGGCAGCTCCAGCACTGCGGCGAAGGAGGGCATAACGGTTGAGACCCTGGTTAGGGCACCAGTGGCCAGTATCAGGAGGGTCTGGGTTTGGGTCCAGGCTCTGCTCTGGGTTGCAGCTTCCTGCGGGTGCAGGCCCTGGGAGGCTGCAAAGACGGCTCAAGTGCTTGGGTTCCTGCCACCCCCATGGGGGACCTGGATTGGGTTCTCAGTTCCTGGCTCCCTTGTGGCATTTGGGGAGGGAACCAGTGGGCGGGAGTGTTCTGTACCCCCTTCCCCTGCCTTTTAAATAATTTTCTAATTTTTAATTTAATTTAATTTTTAAAAGAAGATTATGGAACCCCAAAGGCAGGGATTGAGAGGGAGACACAGCGGCTTCGAGGTGGCAGTGGAGGTGAGTGAGCGCAGGTGCCGAGAGAGGCGTGTGGACGGCCGGCAGCCTGTGTGTGGGAGGAGGGGCACGGGCTTGGGTCTACAGGGAGCGGCGCTCCGCCGCCGTTAGGTGTGTGTGTAAATGGCCGGGCTGCGCTTGGCCGGTCTGTCGCTGAGGGCTTGGGCTCGGCCTGATCAGCCGTCTCCAGCACGGTTTTCCTCACAGTCACATAGTCCCCCTACCCCACTCGTCTTCCCCGCGGCGACCTCAGCCGGCCGCGCGGCCATCCCCGCGCACTGCTCACCCAGCTGCCCGTTTCGGGAGTCGTCACAGCCGCAGTTGTCAAAATCGCCCAGGCTGCAGTTCCTGGTCAGGGTGTACATGACGCCGGCGGAGCTGATGGCGTGCACGAACGCCGTCTCGCGGTTCGCTGACGGGAAGCCAAGTCCAGAGTGAGCGAGCGGCGGACACGGCGGCCGCCTCCCTGCCTCTGACGCCAGCGCCACCACCGCCCGCGCGCCCGCGGCCCGGCTCCCCACTCCTGTCTTTTCAAGGCCGTCGTTCTGTGACGTCTGTGATTTAGACGGACTTCGGGGGAGCAGCGGGGAAGGAGATGGGTCTGGGGGCAGACTGCCGGAAACCCCATCCCCACTCCCTGCTGCAAACGTCGGGGCCGTCGGGGCGGGCGGGGGCCGCGCGCAGTTCCTGGTGAGAGCGCGGGAATGTGGTCTCCAAGTCAGCTGCGCCGCGCCCTGCCCCTTGGCTAGGCTCGCTGAGGCTCGGGGCTGAGAGGCTGAGGGATTCTGGCCCCGACCTACCTTTGGAGGTTGCTTAGATTGTGAGGAAACCTGTAGCCAGCTCGAGGGCCAGCAAGGCAGAGAACTGGGGTGAGTGGGTTTGTGGCGCGGTGAGGATGTCGGGGAAGGAAGGAAAAATCCCTAAGTAAGAAAGAGGTGCAGAGAGGGGAAAGAAGGGCCAGAGAGGGAGGGTGTGGTGGAGGCAGGGCCTGCCTGGGGCTCTAACCTGGGACCAGGGGCCTGGGGAGCCGGCCGAGGCTTCCTTACCACTGCGCAGCCCGCCATGGCTGGACAGCTGCAGGGCGCGCTCCGGGCAGTTCCAGCGGTCCCAGGCAAACTGGTACTTGCATTCCTCAATGCCGCTCTGGGCCCCAGCCGCCACGCTGCTGGAGTAGATCAGGTATGCCTGCGGGGATGCAGGCCGCCATTCAGGCCACGTGGGCAGGGGCTCCTGCCCACTCCCTCCACCCAAGTGCTTTAAATGTGCCAGCTCATTTGGCATCACGGCCTTGTGAGGTAAGTACCAGGTTAGAGAAACAATTTACCCAAAGCCCCGCAGCTGGGAAATGGCAGCCTGGGGTCAAAGTGGGTTTTACCCTCGGCCCCTCTAACCTTGATTCATTGTACTACACGGCTGCGCCAGATCACACACCCAGGACACTGCAGCCGTTATCCAAGCACACTCTTGGAAAATACTGTCTCAGAGCTGGCAATGCCCTTCCACGGAGAAACCAGGCAGTGCGACCTCAGCACTTTAGAGACGGGTAGCCACCTCCCTCCCCTGCCCTGGGAAGGATGGGGCCTTGCAGCTGTGAAAGACTGTTTCTGCTCTGGGAATTCTGGCCAATCAGCATGAGAGCTCCTGAGTTCTCATCTCAGCTCTGACATTAGTTTGCTGTGTGATTCTGGGCATGTCTCTAACTGTCTCTGGGCCCTAGGTTAGCCATCTGTAACGTATACTACAGCATCATAAAAGATGTGGCTCTAATTAAAAGAAATCCACATGGAGGAGGGTGCTTCAAAAATTCATGGAAAATGGAATTAAAAGATAAGTTCATTCTGATGAAAAACTTTTTGAAGTCCGTGCATGATTTGTTCGTAGTATCCATTTTCCACAAACTTTGTATACTTGATCTTCAGTCAACAAGCTAAGGTTAGTGAATTGTGTGTTAATCAAAGGAACTGCTTCTTACCTTTGGACCAGTCATCAGGAAATTGTTCACGGACCTAGGAAAAAGGAAAGTCACCAAGGATTATGGAGAGACATGGACCAGTTCCTACCTCAGCAAACAGAATTGACAGGAAGAAAGGGAAATGGGTTTTGCCAAGGAGGCATTATGCATCGAGAGCCTAGTAGGGATAATTTCTTTAGTGAAAAGGAATGTGAATACAATTGGTATGGTAGCTTTGGAGTTTAAAGTCAGTTACAGTTTCCAGTGCCATGAAAACCAGAAGCAATGTTTGATGACTGTTTTGCCAAGGAGGCTTTACCCACTATGCCACAGCGCCGGCCCCCAGGGAATGCACTATTGGTGTGGCCAACTCGGGAAATTACCCTGAGTGCGGGAAGCCAGCCTCAGAAGGAGGCGCTCCGCATGGGCCTATGTATGCAGTGTTAGAGCTGGGAATGGACTGGGATCTCAGAGGTTTGGGAGGGGAGTGGGTGTGGCTATAATGAGCCTTGGGGTGTCCATCGACCTTGACTGGTGGTGGTTGCACAAGGCTGCACCTAGGGCAAAATTACATTCAGCTATATACACCCGAGCACATGTGTGTACAGGTGTATGTCAAAATGACCCCGCCCCTCAAGTAAATTAAATTTTTAATTGGCAAAGTCTGAGTAGGCTATGAACATTATACTGTAGTTGTAAGATGTTAACAGTGGGGGAGGTTGAGGAAAAGGCACTTGAAACTTCCTTGTACATTTCTTTGCCATTTTTTCAAATCCATAATTATAGAAAATCAAATGTTGAATACACACATATGTGCATATGAGCATATATGATCTGCAGTGTTGGAAATTTGGGGAATGAATTCAGAGTAGGCATTTGAAAATTATAAAAATATATTACCCATCATCTTCTTTTTCCCACTACGAGATAAAAGATAATCTGGGAGTCACCTGTATCGTTCCAAGAACGTTGCTACACTCCTGCAGTTCTGAAGGCCAGAGGGCACTGAGCACCACCAGGAAGGTCTTGGAAATGAAATGGACTAAGAAAGTTCAGTCTCTTGAGGGTCCAAAAGGGCTTGACTGGCTCTCTTCACATAAAACGTACCTAAGATGTGCATAGTTTCTCCCCTCCCCACCTGTTTGAAAGGCAGAGCGCACACACACACAGAGATTCCATCCTCTGATTCATTCCCCAAATGCCCCCAACAGCCAGGGCTAGGGCAGGCCAAAGTTAGGAGCCTAGAACCCCATCTGGGTCTCCCGTGTGGGTGGCACGGGCTCAAGTACTTGGGCCATCATCTGCTGCCTTCCCAGGTGCATTGACAGAGAGCTGGATGGGAAGCCAGGTAGCTGGACTTTAATGTGGGTGCAGGTGTCCCCAGCAGGGGCTTAACCCACTGTGCCATGAGGCCTGCTTCTCAAAAGACCTTCTGGATTTGGGGCATTTTTGAATTTCAGATTTTCAGGTTAGAGATGCTCACCCTGTTGTTACCAAACTGGGAGGCCACAGATAAGAAGACAAAAAAGATTCTGAAAGAGCTATAATAGAATTTTAGAAAATCGCAGAGGACTACTACATCTAACAGAACTAACCGTCTAAAGTCAGGCAGACAAAATTAAGTCAGCTGGAAAGAAGCACTGCTGTGTGGAGAACAGGGGTACCGCAAAGCACAGAAATAAATTCAGAAGAATTGAAATGACTTCACAGTGGCCGAAGACATTATGGGTTTGGAGGCAAATTTCTGAACCCTAAAGGTTGGTGTCGGAGGAGTTGGCAAGGCCCTTTGACTCCCTTTGACCCAAGGAAACGAGCCTGAGCCTGCGCTGACTCAGCAGGGCAGTCTCTAGGTTAGGAATGATGTTCAAAGATTTTGGATGGTACCAAGCCAGAGAAAAACTGGTTACCGTTTCATAAGACAAACATCCAGAAAGGAAGCAAAGTAACAACAACAAGAGAAAAGGAGTGACAAAGGAGAAAACTGCCGTAAGCCAGGTGAAGATTCCTCCTATGAGAGGCTTCTAGACTGGAACTTTGGGGAGTAATGGGCAGAGGTTCTAGAGGACTCTGTATTCCTAGAAGACCCTATGGTATGTAAAGATTTGTATGTATGATATTCGGACCTACCCCAAATTAATGAATCAGGTATAACTGAGCACCTGTTGTGAGACAGAATGTAATCCTCATTTGGACAAAGTTCTCGTAGAGACCCTTGAGCTATCTGCAGACATATTTGAGTCATATCCAAAATCTCCAGTATTAAGATCGTGTCCTGTGGTGAGCACCCAATGAGGCTTTTGCTCTTGATTAATGAGACAATGGTGTGATGTCACTTGAGGGAGAGGTAAAACAGAGATTGCCAAAAGCATGGTTAACGTGTCCTGTGAAAGAGGCAGAGGACCCAAAAGGAATTTAAATATGTGCATGGGTGCACCTAGGGACAGTCATATTATTGGAAGAGCTGTGCTAACAAACATGGCCGATGGAAAGTTCAACAGATAGAGACTCCCTCCAGATAGAGCATAGTACACCCAGTATGTTCCCAGGGGGACACAGCTTCCCATTCCCCACAAGTAGCTTCAGCACTTGCTGAGATGCCACCCAGACTGGCTGCCATTCAATGGGTTTATACCTTTCTGCACCCTCCCAACTATTCCTAGATCCCTTTTCTTGAACACCAGACTTCTGTAGTCAGCTGTATTTCTTTTAAAAAATTTTATTTGATTTATTTGAAAGGCATACACAGAGGGCAAGAGGGATATATATATATATATATATATATATATAGAGAGAGAGAGAGAGAGAGAGAGAGAGAGAGATTTCTCATCTGCTGGCTTATTTCCCAAATGCCAGAAATGGTTAGGGCTGGGCTAGGCTGAAGCCAGAAGCCAAAAATGTTCAACCTGATATCCCATGTGACAGAGGCCCAATTACTTGAGCCATTAGCTGTAGCCTCCCAGGGCCTGCATAAGTAGGAATCAAGAGCAGAGCCAGTTCCTGCAGCGCCGGCACACCGGGTTCTAGCCCTGGTTGGGTTGCCGGATTCTGTCCCGGTTGCTCCTCTTCCAGTCCCGCACTCTGCTGTGGCTCAGGAGTGCAGTGGAGGATGGCCCAAGTGCTTGGGCCCTGCACCTGCATGGGAGACCAGGAGAAGCACCTGGCTCCTGGCTTTGGATCATTGCAGTGCGCCGGCCATAGCGGCCATTTAGGGGGTGAACCAACGGAAAAGGAAGACCTTTCTCTCTTTCTCTTTCTCTCTCACTGTCCACTCTGCCTGTCAAAAAAAAAAAAAAAAAAAAAAAAAAAAAAAAAAAAAGCGCAGAACCAGAACTTGAACCCAAGCACTCTGATATGGGCTGTGTGCATCCCACACAAATGCCTGCCTCCCTAAGCTACATTCTTGTATTTCCCCTTTGTTCTTTTTTTTTTTTTTTTTTTTTTGACAGGCAGAGTAGACAGTGAGAGAGAGAGACAGTGAGAAAGGTCTTCCTTTTGCCATTGGTTCACTCTCCAATGGCCGCTGTGGCCGGCGCACCACACTGATCCGAAGGCAGGAGCCAGGTGCTTCTCCTGGTCTCCCATGGGGTGCAAGGCCCAAGCACTTGGGCCATCCTCCACTGTACTCCCTGGCCACAGCAGAGAGCTGGCCTGGAAGAGGGGCAACCGGGACAGAATCTGGCACCCCAACCGGGACTAGAACCTGGTGTGCCGGCACCGCAAGGCGGAGGATTAGCCTAGTGAGCCGTGGCGCTGGCCCCCCTTTGTTCTTAACAGGCATCTCAAACATTTGTCTGAACTGAAGCTCCTGCTCCTTGCTGTCACTACTCTAACATGTTCTTTCTCCATTTAAGGTCTCATTGCTTAGACAAAATTCTCAGAAGGTCATCTTTGATTCCTTTCTTTCAGATGGCCTCAAGTCCTCCCAGCTCTACCTCACCACATATCCAGAATCTAGCCAGTTCTCCATGCGTTACTGTTACCCCCGGGGTTTAAGCTGTCATCATGTCCGGATTACTGTAAAAGCCTTCTGAATTGATCTCCTTACTTTCGCCCTTATTCTTCCCCATTCTGTTCTCAAAACGATTGGTTGCTGTAAAGATTAGCTCCAAAAATACAAAGAAAATCTTGTCATTGTTTGCTTCAAATTCTGTAATAGGTTCCTATCCCCTGCAGTGTAGAAGTCAAAAGCTTATCAAGGTTTGTGAAATCCCACACGAGCTGGCCTCTACTTATCCTTCTGACCCAGTCTCCCGCTACTTGCCCCTCGCTACTCTGCTGCAGCCATTGGGTCTCCTCGTTGTTCCTCAAACACACCAGGACTCTGCGCTCCCCGGGTCTTTGCACTTGCCATGTTCTCTTCCTGGGAGACTCTTCACTAAGGTATCCATATGGCTTGTTCTGTCATCGACATCAGCCTTTTAATCAAAGGTGCCATTCTCCTTGCGGCTTTCCTTCATTATTCTGTTTAAAATTTCAGCCTCCTCCACTACCCATTTGTTTTTCCTAGGCACGGTTTATCACTTTACTCTGCATGTGTTAGGTATTTATTTGCTTACTGTTTGCTTCCCCCCACTGCACAATAAGCTCCGATAAAGCAGATTTTGGGGGGATCTGTTTTGTTCACCAAGTATTACCAGTGCCTGGAAACAGCACACATTTAATAAATACTTGTCGAGTGGGAGAATGAAGGAGCCCACCTTTAGGGTGGGAGTAGGAAGACATATCACCCGAGGACTTGGAAGGAGAACAGAACTATCCAGAGAGACAGGGCGACGGGAGCCTCTCTTGTTCATGCCCACGGCTTTAGCTGTCATGAAGACACATGCCTCCTGAGTCCTTCCCTTCAGCCCTGACTTCTATTTTGAAAACCAGAGCTGTATTTCCAAATGAATGCTAGGTTTCTCCATCGGGAATGTTTGAATTGTCAAGACAGCATATCTAAAAGCCAGCTCATCTTCCCTGCCAAACCGGCCACTTCTCCGGACTTCACTACTCTTTGTTAAAGAATCGTTTTATTCCCAAGTCTACTCTCAGCATCCAGTTACCAGTTCCCTC